TGGTGTCTCTGGTCCAGCGGGCTTGCGAGACACCCTAGGGTGTCTCGGCTTGGCGGAGACACCCCTGGGGTGTCTAGGCTTTTCCTAGACACCCCCGGGGTGTTTCGACCTCCCAAGACTCCGTTTGAGGTGATTCGATTGTTTTCCCTGTAAATTCTTCGTCCGAACTCGGATTTGAGTGATCCCGGGTGCGTTGGATGCTTGACGAAGAGTTCGATCCACTCTGGTGGTTGGATTATCCGTAGAGTGGTCGAGGCACGAAGGGCGTTGTCCTTTTTGTGAACAGTGCCGGGTTCCCGATTGGTCCGGGTCTTTGTTGTTCTGAAATCCTATCCGCTCACGTAGCTCGTCGATTGACGTTCATCGTCACTCTTTAACACTGAACCGTTCGTGGAGACCTATAGGCAATTTTCAATGCCTACAAGATTACGATTCAAAAGATCAACCAATCAACTTATCCCTATCAAACAATTCAAAATAATGATACACATGGAAACAAAACAAAAAACATCCACCAATTCCACCAACACACAGATTTATTCAAATAATCCAAACAAAAATTAACAAAAAATTAATCAGGATTGCTCACCTTCATGTTGAACGGACTGGCGCTGGCCAGGCTGCGTTCGCTTGGAGACGGTGCGAGCAGCGAAGAGGATGAACTCCCTGGCGGCGTTCCGCTGAAAGAACACGTTGACTTCTGTCGTAACGCGTTGACTTCTGTCGTAACGCGTTGACTGGCGTTGACCTAGGGTTACGCGTTGACTGGCGTTGACCCTTAGGGTTTCGAATCGTCGAACGTTGATTGGTGTGGATTTTGAATCCTCGAACGTTGACTTTTGTCGCAACGCATTGATTGGCATTGACCTAGGGTTACGCGTTGACCGGCGTTGACCTTTAGGGTTTCAAATCATCAAACGTTGACTTGTGTTGCAACGCGTTGATTGGCGTTGACTTAGGGTTACGCGTTGACCGGCGTTGACCCTTAGGGTTTTGAATCATCAAACGTTGACTTTGGTTGCAACGCGTTGACTGGCGTTGACCTAGGGTTACGCGTTGACCGGCGTTGACCCTTAGGGTTTTGAATCGTCTAACATTGACTTTGATCGCAACGCGTTGATTGGCATTGACCTAGGGTTACGCGTTGACCGGCGTTGACCCTTAGGGTTTTGAATCGTCGAACGTTGACTTTGATCGCAACGCGTTGATTGGCGTTGACCGGCGTTGACCCTTAGGGTTTCGAATCGTCGAACGTTGACTTTGATCGCAACGCGTTGATTGGCGTTGACCTAGGGTTACGCGTTGACCGGCGTTGACCCTTAGGGTTTCGAATCGTCGAGCATTGATTGGTGTCGATTTTCATCAAGACATCCAATAATCGACGAA